CGTAATGATAACAATTGTATCATATCGCGCGAAACGCAAGAGCCTAAAATCGTTTTATTAAAGATACAGTGGCGAATGCCTCATATAGTGTTAAACGATATTAATAAATTAAGATTATTGCGCACGTTGGATAGCGGACGATATCTGAGTGTCGCTTTTTGCTCGTGGGATTTCTATGAGTTTCCGCTTCTACAGAGCACGACTAAACATTCGTGGGCTGTCAAAGCGGCGACGCAACTCGAAAAACCGCGATACGTTATCTTCGCGCTACAGTCCGGAAAGAAGAACGTTCTATCCGAGGAGCCTTCCCTATTCGACAATTGCAAACTAACTAATGAATTATTGTATCTTAATTCCGATTTTTATCTTTACGATGATATGAATTTAGATTTCGATAAGCGCAAAGTTGCAGTGCTATACGTGTACTCAAAAAAATTTCGAAGAACGTATTACGGATGCGACAATGACGAAGCGCTCTTAAATCTGAATAAATTTTTATTCTACGGCCCGCTCGTAGTCATCGACTGTTCTCGACAAAACGAATCGATTAAAAGCGCCACCGTGGACGTTCGCATAGAGTTTGATTGCAAGGAGAACATTCCCTCTAATACCACAGCTTACTGTTCACGATCGCACGATCGAGTGGTGGAGTACAATCCGCTCACCAACGTTGTGCGCAGAATCGTATAAGCGTGATGATATTCAAAATATGATAATAGAGGCATAGAGGCGCACACTTCGAGTACCGCTAATAACGACGATGGACGCACCGATCTTCGTCGATCTTCAAGGTTTCGTAGTTAACGAGAGATTCGTCGCGAAAGAAGTAGCCGTGTTAAGAAATGGCGTGGAATTGACGCATTATATCTTTCGCCCACCAATGTCTTGGGTTCTGCTAACGAGAGCGGAAAAATCGCGAGCGTGTTGGTTGACATCTAATCATCATCAATTAAAGTGGAATGACGGACACGTGAATTACGGGTCGATGAAAAGACTCATTCGGGACGCAGTATGTCGAGAATCTAGCTCCGATTCAGCGATAAGAATCTACCTTAAAGGTCACGAGAAGAAAAAATGGCTGATCGAGATCTTAGGAAACGTTGCCGACGATCGCGACGTTGCCGTCTCCGTCGAGACTATCGATGCTGATTACGAGAATATCGAACGTTTGGAAACTCTAAACGCTTCGCGGGCCTTTCACTGCGGATATCACGCGAAGAATTGCGCGTTAGAGAACGCTTGTAAATTGCATGATTGGTGGTTCGAACGACGCGATCATTTACATAATATGTGCGATTGATTCTACTACGTTTCTCTAATCGCTCGTCAAGTGTTCTTCTTAGAAGATAAACGAATAATAAAAATAGAAATAATAAAAAAGTAAAACCGCGAGGAACTCGAGCGTCCGCTAGATAACGCGCATCCTAATTCGCTCACCGTCGAAAGGTCGCGTCCCTCTAATCGGGGCGAACTGCGACTCTTTTTCGAACGAATCGCATTTTCTCTCCCCCCACCCGCGCCGATAAAGGACGACGGAGAATCGCTATCATCCGATAACGCGACATCTCTGCGTCGCGCTTTGTCGCTGTTTCAGGAATAATATCAATTATCAGAAAACGGCGAGTTAGACGCAGTTACGCTTAGCCTTATGCGCAAATCGCGATGCGGTCTCGCAGATATTCCCGATCGCGCGTATAGCCCGATCGCGCGAAAATGGCCGAAAACGCGCCTCACGTGGAATTTTCAGGTAGCTAGCGAGGAACTCTCGCGAACGGCCGAAGCGGCGTTCGCGTTATGGGCGGTGAATTCGTTGCTAACTTTCGCGCGCGACCCGCTGCGACCCGATATATTGATATCGTATCGAACGGGCGCGCACACTTACGCGAATCGCAGGAATATAGGCATTTGCCCGGCGACCTTCGACGGTCCCGGGGGAGCCCTAGCTCACGCGTTCTTTCCCTCTGGAATGACCGATTTCGCGTCAGAGGTACACGTTGACGATTCAGAACCGTGGCACGTGTATCTAAATAAAAATCCTCCCAACACGCATCATTTGTTGCAAACGCTGACGCACGAGATTGGCCACGCTTTGGGTCTACAACACAGCATGCGCAACGACTCGATAATGTTTCCATATATATCCGATATCGAGAATCAATTTCCAGTTAAGTTGATCATAGATGATATTCTGGCTATACAGAATCTGTACGGGTCTTACGACGACGGAAACTATCCAACGGCGACTCCCGCGACTACCGCGGCGCCCGCTACGACGAGTGTCGCGTCAATTGACCCCGCGCGCGCGGATCTCTGCGCTTTACGGCGCGTGGACGCCGCGCTGATAATGAATCACCGATTATATATAGCTAATCGCCGTAATGTGTGGTCAATCGACGTAATTGAGAAACGCTACTGTAGGCCCATGACGCTCACGGATTACGCGGCGTTTCTCCCAGCGAATTTCACGCGCCTATCCGCCGCGTATCGAAGACCCTCGGGCGATCTCGCGCTATTCGCGGACGAGTCGATCTACCTCGCGGAATATCCCAGCCTTAAGCTAAAATCGGCTCCTTAAGGAACGAGTCGCGTCAAGGTCGAGTCGCGCCAAGGTCAAATCGCGCCAAGAGAAATCGCGACCTCAATCGAGTCGAGCTTCATCTCCAGGGCGATCTTGTGCCGAACGAAATCTGCGCGAGCAATCTACATGGGTGAATTCGATAGAGGAGTACGTTGCGTGGGAGCAACAATACGACGAATATATCGAATCGTTGGAAGAGCAAAGTCGAATCAAAGGTCCACGATTATCGATCAGGATTTGACAATCACTGATTGCCCGAATCGCACGACTCGAGGGATTGAAGAATTCGTTACGCAGGCGTTTTGTACATGCGGGTGCAGGATGCAGCACGCGACAACACGGATTAATTTGGCGAGAAATCGATACGGCGTTCGAGAGCCGCATATTGACAGGTGCGGTTATAAATCATAATCACATCGAGCCTCGTCAATATTTCGAGGATACCAAAGACATTGTGTTCGAACACGTGCAAAACGTGCTGAAGAAACACTTTAATGTGAAAGTTAATACAGTGTTCAATGGAGAATTTGTGACGGGTGATAGACGCGCAAATAAAAGTATCAATACGAGAAATTATGAACTCTTTCGCACATCTGATTTACGCGAATAGTACGAGCGGCGCGTTGTCGAGCCCTCTCTAGCATCGCTCGAAGAATTTCAGAAACGCGATAGCGGGTGGGCATTGTCGCGAATAATCGATTTAATTGTGAATATAAACAAGTATAATCCTATGCGCGCGGGATGTCACATAAAATTACCGCGGGCGATAATGAAGAAAAGAGCGGTGATTAACGTGCAATCTAAAGACAGTGCGTGTTTTGCGTGCTCTGTAGTCGCCGCTCTATATCCAACTGAAGATCATGTTTATCGACAATCTTCGTATTCACATTATACGACAGTACTGGATCTCCAAGACATTGAGTTTCCAGTGACTGTGAATCAAATCAAAAAATTCGAACTTGCCAACGATATCTCTATAAATGTATATAGTATCAAGGAAAAAAACATTGTCCCGATACGTCTTAGTGAACTAAAAAGAGACAAACACGTAAATCTGCTGTACGTGAAAGACAACAACGTTGGACATTTCGCGTGGATCAAGAATCTATCCAGACTCGTGAGCTCGCAATTGAGCAAACATAATGGCCAAATACATATCTGCGATCGGTACATATATATTTAATAAAATACATTGTACAAATAATTGAACAAAAATTAAAAAATTTCTTTTACAGATGTTTGCTTTACATTGGCTCGAATGACAAGTTACAGTCACATATGGTGGACTGTCGAGAGATGAACGAGTGCGCTATCCGATTACCGAGCGATAAGGACAAGTGGCTCACGTTCAACAATTATAATCGGAAAGAGCGGCTTCCTTTTGTCGTATACGCCGACTTGGAGTGCGTTTTGGAGAAGACAGAGGAAGAAAGAAATTACCAACATGATAAAGTACTTAGTATTGCTTATTATGTACATTGTTCGTACGACGATTCGTTATCCGCGTATCATTCTCGTCGC